TGATGATCGCCCTATTCATGTGGATTTTGATTGGGGATTTCAAGAAGGTAGACAATGGGGTCGTGGTAGGAGTAGTAATAGGTAATCTCCACGGTGGTTTCATTCTTTCATCTTGAGATTCATGTCAGCATTTCATTTGATTTACATCTTTTTTTCCCAGGTGCGCGACGAATATCGTACAGACTATTGATCCAGGTATCCTTCTCTTCAATTGATAAGCATGCCTTAGCAGTTTACTTTCAATTCTTTTAGCTTTTTTTGTGGTGGGGGGGAGGGATATTCTGCTCCTATCATGGGCAAAATTGATGAACTCTACAAATAAAAAGGGTATGGAACTATTAGGACAAAGTTAGTCAAAGATACTTCATGGTATGCAGAAGGATATCTACGGACTTCGCCAATTAACGCCGAAACGACCTACGGACTTCCAAATCAACGTCCAGACGCGCTTCTAAGACCAAAATCACCATACGGAGCTATTTCTAGGCTCGAAATCCCAAACGGACATAGGTAACATCAAAATCCACTTCAACCCAAACTTATGAAACTCATCAAAAATGCCAACTATCCATAATAGGGGCCAAAATGCTCCCAGGTGACCCGATACTGAATCCGAACATACGCCCAAGTCCGAAATCATCATACAATCCTGTTGGAACCTTCAAATCCCGATTCCGAGGTCGTTTGCTCAAAAGTCAAACCTTGGTCAATTCTTCCAATTTAAAGCTTCCGAATTTAGAATTTCCTTTCCAAATCAACTCCGAACTTTCCGAAATTCAATTCCGACCACACGTACAAGTCATAATACCTGAAGTGACCTCAAATTACTGAGCGACGCACAAGAGCTCAAAACGATCGGTCGGGTCGTCACATTCTTCCCCACTTAAACATACGTTCGTCCTCGAACGTGCTAAGGACTGCTCCAGAGTTGTCTAAAATCACTGTTTATCGTCTCGTGCACCTACCCGTGCTATCACAACCCAGTTGAGCACATTAGCTCGAGCCAGACTGAAGATCCTCCCTACAGCCTTAGCTAACAAGCTTTAGAGCCAAGTTCCAACTTCCGAATATTTTCTACGAGACCTGTTTTTTTTTTTCCAGACGAACACCGTATCAATCACTACACACAACACCAAAATATGATCGCACACCTTTGCTGAATTCACACCGTGCATCGCATAATTCACATGACCATTTTAACATCCTGTAACAACAATAACTGCAATTCCATGAATCTGATGCCCACAAGCCACCTCAGGACGCATGTAAGTCCTGTTCCAGCTCTCGCAATACTGTCACGACGGAAGAGGTGCATAGAGACTAATAACCACCTGCCGAATCGACAAATCATGGAGTCTCTCCTCCTGACATGGATCATTACCACATTCTGAACTGAATAACGATATTTGCTCTTTAATAGACTTTATATAAATCTGATTGCACTGATTGCAGGTCCAATAATCTCGTCTCGCCCAATACAAGTTGTTCCGGTGATTAGCAATCTCAAACATTGCCAAAATCTCATATAACACCAACAATGCGCCAACAAGCGACAAACTCGAATATAACTCATAAGAAAGAACGATCTCTGATAGGGAATTACCCAGCCCACGTAACGAATAAAACGGCTGAATAGGTGCTATGAACCTATCTCAGGGATGAAAACAAGCCACACAAAATGAGTGTAAGGAACTATGCTCAACATCTCACTATTGCGGCGTGCAATCCGATCCAATGTAACATTGTTGTGGCGTGCAACCCGATCCAATATAACACTGTTGCGGCTTACAACCCGATCCAATGTGACGATGTTACGGCGTGCAACCCGATCCACACAACATACCCGTGGCGGCGTGCCACCCGATCCAAGAAATATACCCGTGGCGGCGTGCCACCTGATCCGCACATAACAATCAAAAAGAAAACACACATCAACTCGTAATGCTTATACTTATGAAATGTTTGAATATCAACCACAAGTATGCCAAGTGCATAATATAAATCTTGAGGAGACGGGTAGCGCCATACGCTACGAAACTCAATCACAACTAAGGTGCGAGATATGATCTGCATCTAGAGAACCATCCTACTCACATTACACCATAGCTACGCGGGACCTCAACACATGTGCGAATAATTAAGTCGTCTCACAACCCATATGGCATAATAGAGTATTACATGAAATAGCTGACGGCGAAAATAACATCCAATGCCCGAAGACTCCTCCATAAAAAATGCTATGCTGAATGAACACACCCGGCCTGATATAGCGCACACATCCACATTTAGACCCATCAACGGACCTCCAGTCTATTCTGATCATACCATACTGGGCTAATAACCTTTCAAGGATCCACAATGACCTATTCATGACACATAAGGATAGCCGTCAAACCCGGAAAAAACTCACACAATCCACAACCCAAGGAATAGAATGCCTTCCAAGCATAAACTCTCGCATTTGCGATATTACCATAACTTCCATACTTGGTTTCAATCTTTGACAATCAAGTTAATAACATGCCACACTTACACAAATCTCCCCATGGGGGTATGCTCCCATGACCTTCCGCTCAGGTTGCAAAGTCTGCACCTCCATACCACCAACCGTCCTAATTTTGTAAAGCGAATCAAAAATCCGCAAGTCAATACACAAGACCTCTTCCACAGAACACCATTCTCAGGTGACACTAAAACAATGCCAGCTTATTTTGAACATCTAAATTCACCCATTGCTCATCCGGGCTCATGACATTTTATCAACACCGAACCGCAACCTTGACCTTCAACTTCCAGTCCCCATGCCGCTCATTGCATCTACCATGATGCTACGCGATAATACACGTATTCACCATAACCCTTGAACTACTAGTGGAATTAAACACTTCATTGGCTAGAAACCTTTCACTTAGCTCATTTCAGAAGAACCAAACGTAACCCGCAAGTGAATTCATACCCAATAATCATCTCATAGCTTTCTCAAGCGCATCATGGCATCTCCAACTGGTACACCCATTCTTGCAAGACCTTCCGCGAATTCGAAGATTTTTCCTCCTTTCCTCCAATACTGTACTGCATACCTAATGATAGCATAGAACCTTCCAAGTCCTTAGGCACTGCACTCAAATTCTTGAACCCACTAGGACTACTATTGAGAGTCACCCACTCTGACTTGGCCCCGAATATAAGCCAAACTCTAGTGCATTGCTAGTACGTGAACACCCTATCAAAGAAGCACCCGACGAAATTCTTTTCCTTCTATATAACCCCCACAAGAAGAATAAACTCTGAGTCTTCCCAAAACCTGAACACGAATCGATAAGTCCAAATATAACACACCTGCCTCAAATCCTTTGCCCGAATTACCACTGATGCTTTCTTTCCTTAGTCATAATAACCCACCAGTACACCGATAACCAGAAATCGCACGAGCAGACAACCACGCGATCCAATCGTAGGCGGTAGGGCTCCCCACTTAGCTTGAAGCTATAATTACATAACCCTGGAATACACCAAGATTCTTCCTTCCCAATCACCATGATCTCGCACAACTAACTCGCCAAAATTCTCGAAATCTTTCTGTTAAACATTTCATGGACATTCTGAATCATTAGCCACAATCACATATTCGACCTCTTACCGGATAGCAAGTAAATATTTTCGTAGAAGCTTCACCAATATCGCGCAACTACTAAGGAGATAACCCACCTGTAGAAATTCCATGCCGACATCTTCCAATGACGTTGCATTGGGTACAATTACTACGAAACCAGTAAACCTTCCTGAGCCCGTGCTCATTCACCAGTTGTACAAGTCCGTTCACTCCCCATTGACATCAACTAAAAGTGCGATAATACATTCCAACTCGAAGTCATGTTGCATCCCGACGATAATCAAGTTTTTCACACTCCTGTTCATTTCAAGCAAACTCCTTTATGTCATTTTCAATGTTCCTCAGTACAGTAGGCACCATCCCCAAATACAATTAGTAGACCTAGTCACTCTTCCAACAAGATTCCCAAATCGCTCTAAACTTTCTTCAAGCAAGTGGCTTCCTACCACATAATCCATATACTACTCTGCCACTCCCACTTCGGTTGAACCGTCTCCTTTAAGCAATTTCTCGACCTCCGCTTTTCATAGTTGGTCTGCTAGTAATCCAACCACCGCAAGACACCTCCC